ATATAGCTAAAATTAATATATAAGTTTTTATTAAAAAAATTAAACTTTTTAATAAAAACACAGGTAAATTTGCCTGTGTTACAATTTAAGAGATACTATACATATAATATGTAAAATTGAGCTATCTGCTATGGTTATAGTTTATTACCAAGCTTTTTATATACTTCAAATTTGCTTTTATAAATATTATTAAATAATTATAAATTTTTTAAAAAAACAAGTTTATAGCATTAAATGATATATTATTAAGAGAACCAATTATAGATACAAATAATATAATAAATTAAGAGATATCTTTATTTCTAACAAAAAGCATTTGTACTGGTGCTTTGCAAATAAAGAATTGCCCAACCCAGTCTGCAACAATAGGAACTACATAGTTAGAAAGGTATTCGTGTATTGATACTTGGTATATATTATTTAAAGTGCACTAATATATTTCTCAATTCCTTTTAAGTTATTTTCTACAAAATTAAAAATAATAGAATCATATATATAATGAACTTTTTTTAATTAATCTATTATTATAACTATAAACCACAAACCTATTTATTAGCTTCTTATCAAACCATTTTTATTTCTATAATTCTAAATGTAATTATAGTAAAAAACACCAAAATTTATAATAAACTAACTCAGATATCATTAGTTTAAATACACTTGCAATTGCTTAAACAGTGAAATAATAATTGTTAATTTATCACTTATTTAATTAATTAATACCAAATATACCTAAAATCAGTTCATTCATAATTATTAAAATTCTTATAGTATACGTAAAATTATAATTATTAATGAAAAAAAAATTTATTGATATTATAATATTTATAATACAAATAACTAGAGATTCAACTATTTCAAAAAGTATCATACTGTATTTAGTAAATATTAGCATTCTCCCTAGTAATAGAGTAATAATAATGTCTGAAGAGTATTTTGAATCTAATTTATCCATGTTATAATATATAAATTCTGGTTTGTAAATATGGATCAAGTAATTTTGAATATTAAAGCCTATCCACAATATCACGTGTAACAAGTAAATTAATCACAACAACATAAGGAAAATTATCAAATTAAAATATTGAAGTTGTATAGATTTTAATGAAGTTATTCAATAAATAGTATGTCAACAACATTTTCATCCGCATCCTTTCTAGACTCTTCTAATAAATTAACAATATTCGAACTATTTGCATGAGAGAGATCGTTGACTATTCTAATAGTATTAACAGCTTTTTTGAAAATTCTATGAGCATTAAAGCGACGAGGTGGATCATCAATTTGACTAGGTAAAGGTTCACAAAACCAGGAATGATTAAGTGCTTGATGAGCAGTTAAACGGCTATCAGGATCAACATTTAATAATTTACTAATAAAATCTTTTGCTATTTAAAAAAATTTAGTTATTAAAAGTTAAAATTTAATTAGGCAAAATTTTTCATAATATTCAATATAATTCAATATTACCTCTTTCAGATATTCTTTCCCAGCATTCTTGAGGTTCGAAACTATAATCAGCTTGAATAATAGCCATCAATTCACCATCCCCAAAAGGAATGTTGCCACTTAGTAAAAAGTAAGTGATTACACCTATAGCCCACATATCTACTGGTTTACCATGATCAAGCTCTTTAAGAACTTCAGGTGCCTATAGGAAGTATTATTAAATTATTATTGATAAAAGATTTTTATTAAAAAATTTAGAGAAATTTTTAAACAATTTTATTACCACATAAGCAGGATTAACGCATATAGTAGTAAGAACATCAAATTTTTCAGGATCAATAATTTGAGATAACCCAAAGCCAGTAATAACTAATTCAGAATTATTATCAATCGTTCTGAAAAGGATGTTTTCTGGCTGAATGAAATTAAAGATTATTAAATAAGCAAAATAAAATATATATTTAAAATAACAGATAAATAATGTAAAGTTGAACAAGTGAATTAATTACCTTAAGATCTATCATTTATATTTGATAATTTTGAATTAGATTAATTAGGCCATAGAAAAATAATTTCTTGGTTTCATACAGTATCATAAGAATTTTAAATAGGCCAAACAATCCAACTTTAAATCTTATATATTGTATGATCCATGTGAACATCAAAAGTTTGCCAAATTGACCCAGATGAATCGAGAAAATCAAAAAAAAATTTGTATACTTCACATACTCATAATAAGTACAATTTTTTACCTCTATGAATAACACCATAATCATGTAAATATGCAATAGCTTCTGTTATATTTTTAGCAATATTAACTGCATCATGTTCAAAATAACCACCATCTTCATAGATGCGTTCAAGAAGCCCGCCATCAAGTGTCAAATCGGTGACTAGATATACTATTATAATTTTATAGAGAAAAGAACGTATCGTATTTATTTAGGATAAGAAAAGATATTATTCAAATTAAAATTAAGAACATACGATTATTTTCAGTCTCAAAATAGTCGTGTAGCGATAATATATTTCTGTGGCCCTGAGAGATTTTTTTCAAAGCAGAAATTTCATTACGAATAATGTGTGTTCGATTTTGTAGGAATTTTTTGCTAACGACTTCTACGGCATAAGTTTTCTTAGTCTCTATCTTTTTGTTATTAAAAAGCAAAATTGAATCTTACATATGCTAGATTCATAAGTGCGCGGATAATTGAAAACATACATACATGTTGAGCTTCTACATATATACAGTCATAATTTTAGAATTACTCAGAAAATACAAACATTAAGTACAAAATTTCATGTGCAGACCTTTGATTACAGAGTAATCTTCTTGTCTAATCGTTTTACCGATTGTATACTAATTGTCATAGCATTTAAAATACATTATGATTCATAAATTGATTAAGAATTTATTTAAAGTTTAAATAACAATCTTTTAAAACAGATTACCTTGCAAGGAACCGTAGTGAGATTAGCCATTTGATAAAAGTTTTATCAAAAATCAGGGTAATAATCAATATTAACAATATAATGTAACACCTTATTTTTATTCAGATTACCTTATAAATGATTTAAAATTACACAAAACAAAATCCGAGTAAATATCGAACTATTATTATGAATAAGCTAGTCAATTTATGGAACAATGAAAACACCGTTTTTAAATGAAAAACTTTATATAGTCTAATTGAATAAATCGAATTTTTAGACATATCTGAATAAGCGAATTTAGATGCACTCAAATTAAATAACATTCATCGACATAATGGACCGGGGTAAAATCGCCACCCAAAAAAGTTTCGACCATCACGTGACAAATATATCGAGCACCAAAAAGTCATTTAACTTGAACAACCAAAAAATTTATAGACTAAAAAAT